ATGGTCATAACTCTTGACTAATAGGCCATGGGCATGAATCCTTCTGGGGTTTTCCTAGTCTCACTGAGAACTACTCATGGCCAAAATATGAGCTTGATCGGTGTTGGGCAGTTGGGGATGTTCCCTCGTTAGTGAAATTCTTACAGATGTTTGTTTTGTAAAAAAAGAAATGTCCTTTCATCTCGGTTTGTCATTTGAACCAGCTGTACAGAGTTTTTTTAAGATCAAATCGCTCACGCACATACTTGCATTTTTTCTTCATTGTTCAGCACATGGTTACCTCCACCTCCTCTTTCTCTTCATCTCTTCTTATCACCTACCCATCTTTGGAGGTTCATTCCTTTCTTCGATCATTGCCTTTCTTTTCTACTTCATGATTGATGTTGGCCAAGGTATTAACGTTTATTTACATAACTTTTTCTTTTCGTCGTTCGTGTTCGTTGTTATTTGTTCACGAAACATAAGGGTAGACAGAGAAACAAAAAAGTGTGCATTTTACACCCTGATCGCGCATACATGCCAGAACGAAGTCTATTTCATACTTTAATAGTAGATTCGTTCTTGTGCATCCGTGATTAATATTAAATTGACTGATAGTTTTTGTGTAGTTATCATAATTCAAGTGGCGACCGGCGAAACTTTAAATGTACAAAAGATCATTTGTTTACGAATGAAAATGACTGTTTTATCTGTCATAAATGTGTGGGTTCGATCTATTTCATAAACGCTTGTAAAGAAAATTTTTTATTCAATTCAATCAAGAAAGAATGAGACCCGATAATGAATGCAAGAAAAACAGAGCAACATTTGTATTGTTAATATTGATGTGCCTCTTTTTCTAGGTGCATTGTAATACTCTTTCGGAGATTACTTCAGTCCAATTTCGAAATTCGAATGGTAGATGTACTAGCAAACAGGAAGTTTCAATTTTCTTTTTTCATGGTCCTGTTTACGTTTCAAATATTCAGTTGATAACGATAGTAGCTGAGAACCAAAATTTCTATCGTCTTTATTTCCTTTTCCACTCATACCATCAGATCTGTGTTTTGAATATTTATGCAAATGAATCGAATGCGGCTATGTTGCATGTCTACCAGTAAGGCATCGACCCAATGGGTCTCACTTGACTCAATCTTGAGTGAGTCTTCAACGTTTCTCCCATTGCATGGCAGATTTCACTTTCTCACACTCCAAAAATGTAAGTTAAGGTTTCTTGGAAAAATTCAAACTCTACAACTAGCCTCATATCGTGGAAAAAATTCAACTCGAACTTGTCTTAAAGTCGTCCATGGGTCATGATTCCTCACTTGCAAAGATCATTACTCAAATTTTAATAAATTTTCGCTTGGAATATCACTAAAACTTTTTTTCCAACATTGTAATAATAGTCAACACATCTCTTTGTCTGCTCGTAAAGTCAATGCATAGTTAATCGACTTATCTATTCGAACTTGTCCTCTATAAAACTCTACTTCCAGGATTGGTTTTAGACGAGTGTCGGTGTGCGGGTGTGGATCATCTCTTTGCACCCCGCACCCGCACCCACACATCCAGCCAAGGCTTTCATCAAAATTCAAATAAAATTATTTCACCTGAATCTGCACGTGACTTAAATGGTGAAAACGTATAAATCCACTGTTTTTCTTTTTTTCAGCTGTTCATTTTATAGATAAGTTCATATATCTTTTGTTTTACAGCGTTAACACAAACAACTTTTCATATCAATTAAACAAATGTTTTTTAGGTTCAAACATAAAGAAGAAACAGAATTTATCCAATGGATTAAATCATCCTCAAATGATGCTATGGAATAGGCTTCTGCAGCAAGTCACGTGTCAATAATCTGATGTACATTTTAACAGAATATGTAGTCTCGATGATGATTTTATAATAACTTCAAAGAAAAGAAAAGAACCACTGTCAGTTTTCTATTCTTTCATACCCACGTCAATATCCATTCTTCTTACACATAGAAAAGCAAAAGTTGATTAATCAATGCCGACAACTTCTAAAGTCAATTTAAGCACTGCCGAATGAGAAACATCCTAAGACGAATTTTTAAAAGATGATATCTGAAATGAATCATTTTCATTGATTTGAGTCATTCATTATCGCTTAAGTTCTGTTGAATAGAAAGAGTGAAAAAAATGTTTCAAAATATTGTACTGCTAGTTGATTTAATATTTAGTGTATAATGAATTGGCATTAGTTTTTTTTTGTAACGAAAATAATGCCTGCAGCAAAATCACTTACAGTGACATTTCAAACTAAAAATGCATTATAGAAATCGAAACATTCAGATTTGATTTCTCAGATAAGGTCTACAGAATAACTATCTGACAATATTAAGTCGTTTTATCTTATGTCTCTTCGTTTTCATCATTTCATTAAACAATTAACAAATTTGGAATAATGAAATCGATTTTAAAAAACCGACTACTTTCTCTATGGCATTGTAGTCATGTTTGATCAGTGATCGATTGACATAGGATTACGATCGTAGCATAATTGATGTACAATTCAGTGGACTGCTGTCTTGAAAACAGTATAAAATATGATTAGTTGCACTCTTTTCCGGAGAGTACCAATCAAAAAAGTAAGAGAATGTTTCTTACTTCATAAGTACACTCTCGCTTTCTATTGTGATATATTTTTAATTGAATTATATTGATAGATAAAACATGTTCACAAAATTCTTTCATAGCAACTCAAATCTTGCTAGTCAGTATGTGTGCCGCTATCATTGACATTGGAGAAATGATGATCATAATTAAGCGTTTGTGCGATTGGATTATTCATAACTAACTGCGATGTCGACATTTTGTTTTCTGCCATTTATTCATAATGCAGAACAAAGAAGTAAATATGTTTCAATAGTCTTGGTAATTAGAAACTATATTTGCCATATAAGCTTCCAAAAGTCAACGGGCTTATTTAAGAAAAGTATAACTTAAAATTTAAAGTAGTCAAATACAGAAGTGTTGAGTAAATTATTTTAATTGTAGAATATACCTGTCCCTTTTTTTATTATTCATTTTCAAATGTTCGATTCGTGTCGTTAATATGGTCGCAATGCACCTCTTCCAAGATATTCGGAAATTTAACCTGACGGTTCCATTCTCTATCAATCAAATCATGTTTCTACCTACTTGAGTACTACATATTTACAATTACACACAGTAGTTCATCGAAATAGATTGAATATGAGTGATCAAAGAACAAGTGATTTTCTATAGGAATATTTGATATTCCTGAACGATTCGATCGATCTGGTATGATTACTTTCACACTTTTCTCCATCATCAATCATTATTTGTTTTTATCTCTGATAGATTTGTGACAAGGGTACATGAAGGTTGAACCGCATCCGCTCTATTGAACATCAAATCAAGAATACCGTGGTTGCAAACCTAAAGTTCACACAATGCCAAATGTCTATCGTTATCGCTCACATATTTTTACTAATGTAAGTTTTTTTGAAATATAATATTTGTATCATTCAACGAGAAGCTAATTTAGAGCGTGTCCATCGGTGAAAACTTTCGACTAAATGGTTTTAATACAAGTGCAAGTAGCTTGGTTTCTAAACAGATACCTACAGGTACACTTCCGATCTCACTTGAATCACCGATGCAAGCCAAATATGTACAGTGATGCCTGTTAATGCAAATAATCAATGTTCTAAAACTCAATTCAATAAACTATGATTGAGAGTGCATGTTTGGTGGGCAGTAAAAATAAATAAATATGCGTTTTTCTTTGCTATTCAGTCATCGACAATTATTTATCTACCATTCGTTATTGTTATATTGTAAATAATAGCATGAGTCAGTGTTTGAACGATGAAGGTTCATGGATGAAACTCAACTTATGTATGCAGTACAATAATCAAAGTCTATTATATGGTGCAGGGAAAGATAGTACTATTACTCATGGTGTTTTTAGATTTGTCAACCGACGTGGCTCAATGAGTTTTGTTTTACTTACAGACATGAAAAAACTACTTTCTATATATTTTCTGTTGTTCTTTCTTAACAAACAATGATGAATAGATTTAAGAAGTGTTTTACGGAACCAATTCATTACATTCTTCTACTGCTGACGATGAATATTGAGCATAGACAGAATGCGTATGTGAAACTATACACAAATACTATAAATGTCACCAAGGGGGATGCGCAGCGTGTCTCTTTCATCATCTGCTCAACATCTTAGAAGTGGATGGAGAAAACAATCACAAATCACATCAGGAATCGGGATAAGGATCTCATATCATCGCTTTAATCATATTCGTTTGATAAGGTACTTGCAGAAATAATTGTAATTTTAGGGTTCCAGTTTCACGAGAAACGATACCACTTATAATGTGGCAAATATGTTTTTTTACAATGAAACACACGGAAAGAAGATATTAGGAGTAGGATAAATCTTATCGACATAATGTAATCTGATGGAGAGTATTTGTTCACACACGACGATCTTTCTGTCTATAAATTGAAATAATTAATTGGGATCTATCGTTCGCATTGCGAATGATTGAATACATAAATTTAGATGATAACTGATCTTGAAACCATACAATTAGTTCATCATTTGTTTCTAATGAAGCGTAGCGGCTGTTTCCCTCATCATTACAGCGGACGATCAATGCTCGAAGATTTGGCATGCTGTTAATAAAGTTAAAAACATTTGTTCGGCTTTCAACATCAACAAGAAGAACTTCACATTGGAATGCAATATATGTACGAGTTAACATCGAACATTCTGCATTCTTAAAATATCTTAAGCCGCAGTTAAAATTTTGAAATAATTCAAGTCGACGGATCGATGTACTACTGATGTTGAATGATGTCATTGAGAAGTTATTCGAATGGCTAAAACTCAATGAATAGAGACGAGGAGCTATATTAAGCAATGCTTGTAATTGAGGATAACCAAAATCTTGATTTAAAACTGCATTCAGTGACATCAATTGATTCAATGTTGGAATAGCGGACCAAAAATCGTTGTTGAATGGAAATACGATTGAGAGATGACGAATGTTAACAAATCGAAAAGTGAACAGTGGAAAATTTTCACTAAGATTTTGTCTACGATGAATATGTTCAAGTATTTGCACTTGATTATAAGCTGAGTCATGGCAATCATTAGGACTTGTTGATTTTGATCGACTACCATGTGTGAAATAAAATGTGTCAAAAGCATATGGCAAAGTATAAAGAATACCAATCTTATATATGTCCATTGGACACCAATCACATTGAACATACCATTGATGTTTCTCAATCCAGAATTCAGTTTGAAATGAATGAAATATTTCATCAATCTGTTGTTCGACGTCACTTAATGAAGGAAACTCAACGCGCATTTTCAATCGAAATATTTTTATATTTGGTAAATAAGTGACAAAGACTTTTTCCCATGCATATCCATCTAAACAAATAGTATTTGTTTCTAATGTGAAGTATTTTAAATTGGGCATTATTTGGAAAAGATTCTTCATCGATTGTACAGAACCTTGAAAAGACGTCTTCAATGATATTATAGATGAAAAGATAGTTTGTGATTGATAATCATTATATTGACTTATGCCATGCATATGAAGTCGTTGAAGACGAGTCGTGTGTTGTAATAGATGAGACAAGCTATGTAAATCATAATTGATATTCTTAATAGACAAATAGTTCATGGATTGCGAGATCACTGACATTTGAATGAGTTGTATTGCATACGGATGTATGATATCAAGATGACAATGTGTAAGTTTCGGTAGACTCCATATATTGTTTATGAAATCGTGAAAATTTTCAGCTGGACTCTGATAGGTATTTATACTGATATTCAAATGCGTAAGATATGAAAGTTCACGGCATTGCAATATTAGTTTATTTAATACATCGAAAGAGTAAATATAGTCAATGGCAAACAACTTCAAATGAATGAATTGTTTGATAATATAATTGTGTGAAAGAAAATATTGAGACATATTTGGTGTTTCAACATCATCTGAGAGATGAAAGGCAATTACACGATCATTAATCAGTGGAAGATATTCTTGATGAAAAATATCGAAATCACGCAGAGATATCGAACGAAAATCAAGATAATATCTTTGAAGTTTGATGAAGATAAGTTGATCAAAGCGATTGTTGAGGCCATGGAATGCACGAAATAGATTGACAGCATCCAGATATTCTAATAAATCAAGTAAAATTTCGTTTGCTAATGATTCCAAATTCATTATTCTTCTATTTTCAAATAGAACAGCAAAAAAGCTACCCCATATATTTTATCAGTTAGAAAACGAACTGTGCTGTTCTGTTTCATTCTCTCGATTGCTTCGTAAATATTAGTACTTTAGATAGTATTACAATGTTTTTTTTTCGCTTTCTATGTAGTATGATAATGTATATGTAAAACAAAAGCACAACGATCCTTTTGTCGGTCACATGTTTTTCGCTTCAAACATAAGAGTCTAACTTGAGTTTGGGTGTGGATGGTGTATGGTGTATGTGAACGGAGGATTTACATTCACTTACATCCACATCCTACGAGTTGCATGTTACACGTTGTGTTGTGCTCGCGATAATGAGGATTTTTCTAATGTCTTTTTTCATTTGGCCTTTCATTAATCATAGTCTTTTTATTGACAACGTTCATATTATTACAGCGCCAAGTTTGCGTTCTTATCCGTATAGAATAATTGCAATGAGAGACAAATTTATCGTCGCCAATGTTTTCCGCAAGCAGAAAAAAAAAACAAAATAAATAAAATTTTTTATAGATAAGTATATCGACGATAGTAAAACGAGGCGGTCGAACGAAAAGGAAAAAAAATTATTTTTTTTCTCTAGTCACCATTTTATTATGCACGATGTTGTCGAAATAGAAATTATTTCTTTTTACTTGGTAGAAGACCATTATTATTTCTCAACTTGGAAAAAATCAGGCTTTTTTTTCTTCAAAAAGCTATTCACTATACAAAATCGATAATGTCTGAATAATTTACACATTCTCACGTTAATTTAAAATGCATTTTGCGTCGTACATTAAAAGTTTAGCAAAGGGTTTCTTAGACTTAAATAAATGTCTCGTATACAGCATGAAACCAAAAAAAGTTTTCGAAAATTTTAAAAAATTCGAAATCTTTTTTTAGGCCTCATAAGAAATCTGCGAAGTCTTCAAAACATTTCTTAGATCCTTGACAAATCTTTGCAAAGATTTATTGATTCATACGAAAACTTTGAAAAGGTTTCCATTTTGTTACCAAAGAGGTTCGGTAATATTACTTTTTTTCTGGGAATTTAATCTTTTTGTCCATAAAAAGTAGAGCTTAGTGAGACAAAAGTTCGTTCATATACAGATTTGTTGCTTCTTGAAATATTCTGCATTTTTTTAAGCAGAAAGAA